GAGCCACATGATCCATTTCCCATGTGACACATTCCAGAGCCTTGGAAGGGAGAAGGGAGGGGCAACCAAGAGAGTGGGGCTGGGGGCGGGAAGATGGTTTAAGAGTCAATCCTGCACAGCGTCATCTTGTCTCCTTACCAGGAAGCCGGCTGTGAGCCAAAAGAAAGACAGAGAACAGATATGAATGGATCCCCAAGCTTTCCTGGTGGTTTATGGCATTCTCCAAACTCCTATGCAAGGGCTACTCCTGACCAAGAAGACCTAAGGAGACCATCTCTAAAATCAAGTACAGATGGAGGTATGTACTAGAGATCCCGCGGTATTGTGGTTGAAATTTGGCTGAGAATACGTAATACCTTCTTTTTTCCAGGCAATTTGTCTTGGTATATTTGCTGATTAGGGGCTTTAGATTTGTTACAGGTCCAGAAAAGATGCCTAGGTAGTTCTGTGAAATGAATAATTCACCAAGTGCCTGTTGAAGATAAATTAAATGGATATTTGTATAGTGATAATAAAGCACTCACTGATGAAAAGGATTTTTTTTCTTTGAATCCTGGGAAGAGGAAAAAATACTGAAACCAACTAGATTTCATTGTCACTGCAATAAAATTCTGTTTCATCCCTTTCAGCTGCTTATTCTGTGCCCATGTTCCCAGAGGTTATTGGCAGTGGCTTAGGGAACCTGAGTGGGCTGGCATACTGTTTCTTTGTGCTTTGCAATCGTCTTCCTTCTGATGTTTCTGATACCAGGAGTGCTTGTGATTTTTTCCAGCTCTGGTCTAGGACAGTAGACTGCCACCAAATTTCAGATCTTATAGAATAGCTACCAAGAAGGACCCCAAGAAGTTCTCAAAGGAATCTTCCAAAGTTACAGATTAAAATAATCTGCCATGCACTCAAATCTTGGTATCTTTTAAGATTTCTACCCAGCACAATGAGGGAAGCTAGCAAATTTAAATTTTATTTCTTCTTTAACAAATACTTATAAAGTTCTTGCTATGTTTAAGGTGTAAGTCTAAGCACAAATAATATGTCATTTAATCTTTATAATAACCCTTTGAGGGAGGTATTTATTATTAGTACCCACATTTTAGAGATGAAGAAACTAAGGCACAGAGCGGTTAGGGAACACTCCCAAGGTCACACAACTAGCAAATAGTAGAAACAGGATTTGGACCCAAGAAACTTGACCCCAGAGTTCATGATCTTAACCAATGAACTATGCTGCTTCTCTGCTTGTGTCATTTCAAATGATGTCAACAGTTGATTTGGCTACAAATTTTGTTCAGCCAATACTACTAGATTGGATCAGCTTGCCTGGCTAAAACAAGACCCCAGTGAAATCTACATTTAATCTTGAATTATCCCAGTAGCCACATTTTGTACCCCCAAAGAACCCAGTAAGTAATTGCCTGTTCTCTTCCCATTGTGCTGTATAGATATCTGGTAGTAAAACACTGTGTTACCACGGTGACCAAATGATGTCTAAAGGAAAAAAAAGAAATCTAGAATTACATCATGGTTGATTTTTTTTTCAAATTGAACTAGAAAGATTCTTCTATCCTCAAAACCTAGTAATAAGACCAGCCTAAACATGTTACCTTTAAAAGCACTTACCTGGTTTTGAAAATTAAAAAAATAGATTAAAAACTTCTAAAATTATGAACATAAACTATGATGTCAAACTGACTAGATTTATTGCTTTAAAATAATATCATACTTTAAAATAAGGGAATAGATTTCTGTCTTTGCAAATTATTTTAGGTTTTTAAGGGAAAAAAAATTTTTTTTAAACTTCTGGAAATTTTTGAGATAAAAGGATTTTCTTCCTTTGGTCTGTGTGTTGTCCCTGCTGGACATTGACAATAAAAGATAACTGATCTCATTCTTCTATGCTGTGGGGAAAATAAGAGAATTTACTAGGTCAAAGACACAAAGAGGAAGAAAAGAGATAGGAATCTATCAGGCTTTCATTGAAGAATACTGTGAAGAGTAATTGTGTCCCCTAAAATATTGAACTTTAGTTTTTTAGAATAAGCCTTTGATCCCTGCTGAAATTTATATTTCCCTGGGACAAGTTACACTTACTTTTACTATTATAGTCATCTGAAGGGAGGTTCCAGTATCCTTCCATCTTTGGATTTAGCACCAGGCCCGGTTTATGGTAAGCTCTCAATATATATTTGCAGATGAAGAATGGAAGACTCAAGACTGACAGCATTCTGCTGGAGCCACTTTGGGGTCCCATGCCTCTTTTGTTTTGCATGTGTTTATAGGGAGTATAGTGAGGAGGTAAATGTACAGTAGGAGAAAACTTGGCAGCAGTTAAAATTATGCCTGAAATTTATGTATGCTAGTCTGACTGTCCCTGGAGCACTGACAAACTAGAGTTCAAAATGTAATCATAAATTCTTTCCTGGGGATTACCAATCCCTCTGACATTTTATTTATATTTAGAATGAAGTTCTTTTGATATTTTTATTTACATCTAGACAGAGGCACCCCTAACAGTCTCATTTTGCTTTGATATTTTGTCTGGCTCCATCTCGCAATGTAGAAATGTTAACTTTGGGTTGAGAGTTAATGTCTTGAGGTCAATTCCTGCCCCCAGCAGTCCTGTCCTAAACAGATGTGGCTCCCAGTCCCCAGAACACTGCACAGGACTACAGGACTCCTCCCTAGAGAATCCTGGAGTCTTCAGTATCAGAGTGGGTTGGTGCCAGACTGCCTTTCCCAAACTGTTGCAGCTAAGACCTGAGTGCAAAAGATTACCTCAGAGCACCTTGAAAGTTTGCTTAGGATTTGAATTCAAGTTAGCAGGCTTGAAATAGTCACCCTATTGATAATGTACATAGATATAACCTCGTCTATTATTTTTTGATCTAAGTAATTGAGAGGAAGAGTGAGGTTTGTGGATAATGTGCAAGTCCTTGAATCCTATTCAGTCGTCCTCCTTACCTCCAGTGTTACTTGTTGAGTGAGTTGTGCAAAACCAACAGCCCTGCCAAAAGCACACAGAGCTGGGCAATCGCTGCTTGCCCACCGCACTCATGCGGGACTTCTCAGATGAGCAGGTATGCTAGTGCACATGACAGGCTTAGATCTGGAAGCTTAGCTGGGCTTACTATGCATCCCTCTCAAATCTAAAAGGAGGCAAATCTACTCAACCAGCCGAATGGGAGAAGTTAGAAGAGAGAGAGGAGAGGTTTTGCCAAATATGCTATCAGCTTGGAAGCTAGGAATGAAAGAGGATATAAGAAAAAGGACAATAAGCATGGGTGAAGAATATGAGAAAGTGATGCCTGGATCCTGCCTTTTGGTAATTTGCCCGCCACTAGTAAACCTTGCCAAATGAGTCAGTCTCTGCCAGCTGAATTATCAAACTCTTTCCTATGGTATATATGGTAGGGAGGGACAGGAAATAGAGAGCAAGACCAGAATATTGATACAATTTCTCCTCTATGATGCTGGCGAGGTAGTGGAAAGTGATAGGATGGCTGGTATAAATTTTAGTCTTCACACTCAGTTATATAAGAAATGCTATATTGAACTAGTTTCTATTGCCACTGTAACAAATTAACACAAATTTAGTGTCTTAAGATAATAGCCATTTCTTTTGTCCCATTTCTGCAAGTCCCTAGTCTGGGTGTGCTTGGCTAGTTTCTCTGCTTAGTTTAACAGGCTGAAATCGAGGAGTTGGCAGGATTGTCTTTCTTTGTAGAGGCTCCAAGGTTAATTCCCCTCCCATGCTCATTTTGGTGGTTGGCAGATGTCAGTGCCTTGTGGTTGTAGGACTAAGGCACATTTCCTTTATGGCTATCAGTTGGAAGCCACCCATAACTCCTGGAGGCCTCTCCCTGTTTCTTGTCTACGTGCCCCTTCATCTGAGAACCAGTCACAGCCTGTCAATTCATTCTTATGCTTAAAATCTGTCTCTGACTTATTCTGTAACCAACCAGAGAAGTTCTGTTTCTAAGGGCTCATTAGTTTGGTCCCACCTGGATAATTTAGGATAATCTCCCCATTTTAATTCCATATCCTTAATTATATATGCAGAGTCCCTTTTAGTATATAACGTAACATATTCACAGGTTCCTGGGATCAGGGCATTATCTTTCGGGGGCCATTCTGCCTACTGCATACATTATTTTCTTTAATGGCAAGACTTCATATAGTCAATAATATTGTGATAATTATATGATGTGGCAGATGGGTACTAGACTTGTTGGGGTAATCACTTTGAAAGGTATATAAATGTCTAATCACTATGTTGTACACCTAAAACTAATATAATATTTTGAGTCAACTGAAATTTAAAAATTAATTTTAAAAAAGAGAGAAACTGCAAATAAAGAAAGAAAGCAATGGCAAGGCTTCAGCCTACCAAGCTAATGGGAAAGTCAGTGATGAATGTTACTGGAACTCTCCTCCTCTTCCTCTTCCCAGGTCCTGGGGTTCTTATACAGACATAGGCAAATCAAGCCTATATAACAATAGAAGGCTTAAGAGAAAATATCTACCACTATAGTGTTTTCTAAATTAAAACTATTAAAATTTTTACAAGACAGTTTCCTACATGAGATAATACCATTGATCAGACTTTTTCCTCACTTCATTTCAGGCTGAAGTCGAGAGTTCTGCTTTCATTCTGTGTTTAAAAGGCAACAGTTAATTATCTTTCATACCGAGTTTTAAATACTCTCATAGTCTTTATTCTGAAGAAAGGCTATATTTCCAGACTAACGTGTCTACTGCACTCTTTTCCCACTGCACTTTTGAAGCTAAGTCTCCATGCGGTACATAGTGGGAGTGATTTTTTTTTCCCCAAATGTTCACTATGTCACGTATTTCTGAGCTAGCATATTCAACATATGTATCTGTGGGTAGTTAAGAGGCTGTGGGGGAATAACTTTATATTCTTATGTATTCCTCTGATTGAGGAGTCAAGAAAGACCTATCCACATATAGCCAGTTTGACACTCTAAATGCAGATCCAGCCCCTTGTGGCCTCTTTGGGCATGAAACCCCAGTGGTGGTTAAGAGTATAGGCTTTGGAATGAGGCAATCCTGGGGTGACCACTTTCCAACTGTATGACCTTGGTAAAGAACTTTAGTTTTTTTTATTTGTAAAACAGGACTAATAACATTATCTACCTCCAAGACTACATACATAAAGGATCTGACACATAGTAAGCATAAAATATCAACTTCTAGTAGTATTGATGTTACAACTACCGTCATCATTGTAATTAATGTTATTGCTTATTAGTAAACTGCCTTATGTATCTGTTTAGGTCCAGCAGAACTTCCTCATTCTATAGAAAATGTTTTTTTCCCAACCAAATTATATAAAAATTCAATATTATAAAACTTCTATTTTGACATTACATTTTTGAGCAAATCTCAGAAGTAAAAATGGTCTTTCTACATTGTGAGAATGTCTGTGAATTTTTATAATTTGAGGAGGGAAAAAAAAGACATATGTTAGGATTTTTTGAGTCTGGAAGAAACCTAACCAGCAGTTGATAAGCTTAGCCAGGAATAGGTCCTGGCAGAACTGTGAAGTGAACAAAGTTTGTCATCTGTGCTCCCTCTATTCCTCGCTGTGTTCTTATTAATTTCCAATCATTCATCCATTCATCCATCCATCAAAGTATGGTTTTAAAAAATCATAAAGTTTAAATTATGACTCTCATATAAATATGTAATGAACATATGTCAAAGATTCATTAACTTATTACTGAAGGAACCAATGAGATAATAAAGCTAATTTCAAGAGCATTTGAAGAAATGGGTTTTTATAGTTTGTTTTTGTTTTTGTTTTAAAGACTGTCGATTGCTAGGTAGGCAAAAATCTAGTTAATGTCCTACAGAGCTATAAGCCCTTAGCCTTTAGGGTTATTTTTTCTGCTAGTCAGAACTCTGCATGTTAACATGTAACTTCACAATGTCTGGATTCTGTTCATATGGTAAATAGCAAAATATTTGGAGAAGCCCATCTAACAATATCCTAGCATGACTTTAAAAAGATTTGCTATACTCTGTTTTACTTATTTTCTAGCTTTGGATCATTTTTATTAACACATCATTTATTCAATAAATCTTTATTAATATCTGTATGCCCCAGGGATGTAGAGATAAAGACACAGTCTCTGTCCTCAAAGAACTTATATCTTAATGCGTGAAACAAACATTCAAAATAAAAATTACAATACAAAGTGATAGGTATGTTCCTTTTCCAGGCTTCCTAGCATCCCATCGTTACGGAGGTCCACCCAATTTCTAGACATGTTAGTCTAGAAATGCAGCCTTTCTTCAGAGTAAAGAATATGAGAGTATTGAATCCCTAGTTCTATACCATCCACTATTTTCCCCACTTATATATTAAAACACATCTCTTAGAGCCCAATAGATGAGTGATTCCTCTCTTAGTTAATATATAGAGATATATTGTAACAAGGGACTTCAGTAGTTTACCCCAGTGGAGTATTATATGGCAGTCTCAGAACTGGTTGGGAAGAAAAAGGTTGAGCAGGAAAGGGGTGAAGAAGTCTTTGCTGTTGCTCTTAAAATTAGACATAATTACTAATTAAGCAGCCCTTGTATTTCAAAAACATTCTCTTGAAGATGTATTGATTTACAAATTAATGGATCAAGGGAGACCTTCCTGAAATTTGTCTTTGGGACTATAGAATTTAGTTATAATATGGCAAACTTTTTTCTGGGACGGGGGTGCAGAAACCTATCTGAGGACACCTAAACTACCTTCATTCTCCCTTAAATAAGAGTTCTGTTTCATGTAGCAGTTGCCCTGGGTGACTTCAGTTCACCTACCCTGCTCTTCTCCTGGTTTCTCCTATCTCCTTGGTCACCACTGTTTCAGCTCCCTGAGAATACACAATGATTTTCTCTCTCTGCATTTAATTCTCCTCGTAGAACCACCTGGAATAGGAGTCATGCCTTTCAGTTCTCTGTCCTTATGGATTCAACTCAGTAAATATTTAATGAACAGTTATTAACGTAAAGAACTTCAGTGGAAGCTGTAGTAAATGGAATAAGAATAACACCCTCCTCCCAGGAGCCCCTAGATTAGTGGGGGAACACAGAAGCATGCAAGTAATTCTAAAGCAGTGACTCTTAATCCTGGTTGCACATTAAGATCACCTAGGGGGACACTGAAGCATCTTGATGCCCAGGTTGCACTCCAGACCAACTAAATTATTAGGACTCAGGCATCTGTATTTTTTAAAGCTCACTGAGAGAGTTCAATGTGTTCCTAAGCTATAGAGCCATTGCTCTAAAGCAAAAGAAATGGAAAATGCTACAGGAAAGGACTAACAAAGTCCTGTGTGAACAAGGATACCACAACCATTTTGGATATGTTAATATTCGTATCCACTGTCTGACCATATTTCAGCCCATGAATGCAGAAAATATAGCCTCTCATTGTAACCATGGGAAAAATTTAGGTCAGTTTGATTGTAGGGTATTTAGAAACTGTGTACTCTGGGAGATATTGTCTGCAGGAAACTATGTCTCTAAGTGAAAAAGGGCCCAAAAAAGATCAACCCAGAAAGATGACCTCCAAATTCATTCCACATGCTCTCTT